AATTGGATCTACCGTGAAATTAAGTACACAGTAAAGACCTGTGAATGTGAAATGTTTAGTTGGGAACCTGGAATTGGTATTTCATATAAACGTATAGTACAAGAATAAAAGTCTTACTTCAGGGTTTAATCATCTGTACTTAGCTCTAATACTAGACTCTTACAAGTAGTATTTTTGAACAATTCTAAAAGTCCAGTGCCTGATGCATAAAAATAAATGCTATTGACTGACAGCTTTGATAGATCCAAGAATATTTATTGTAAAGAATAGTGAATGCTAGGTACCAGTAGTTCATGTTGGGTACTCAGAGGCTGAGATCTGAGGATTGTAGTTTAAAGCCATCCTTGGGAGGAAAGTCCATGAAATTCAATTAACCACTAACAAAAGCTAGAAGTGGAGCTGTGGCTCAAGTGGTAGAGTGCTAGTCTTGAACGCAAAAGCTCCAGGACAGTCAGTACTTAGGCCTGAAGTCCAAGCCCTAGGACCAGCACACACACACACACACACACACACACACACACACACACACACACGCGTGCACAGAGAGAGAGAGAGAGAGAGAGAGAAAGAATAATGGAAAATGCGTTAAATACTACTTTACCCTCCCAAACCAACATCCTCAATTTGTCAACACTATTTTTACATAGGAACATAAATAAATGATCATTGGGTTGTAGATATGTGATTATATATATGTATATTTTCCATTTAAGTCTCCAAGCAAGCTCTCAAATGACTGTTACTTTACTATTATTTCCATTAAAATTAATATTATTTTTCCATTTGTTGATGTGAAAATTAAAATTCAAAGAAGGTAAATGATGAAGATAGTTTATACCCTAGTGCTACAGTTTGTTTCTAGAATGTCCCTGAAAGGCTCATATTATTGGCAAGTCTGGAAATTTTAATACATGGGTATAAAGGGGGCCTTTGGATCATTGGGGGAATGCCCTTAAAGGAAATAGTGAGATTATGGCTTTTTCCTGTTCTTTGCTCTCTTTAGCATCTCAGCCATGACGTGAGCATATTTGCTTTACCATGTGCTCCTTACCATGGCATAGTGTCTCAACAAGGACCACAAAGCAATCAGAGCAAACAGAGCATAGTCTGAAATGTCTAAAATTGTGAGTTAACATATGCTGTTCCACTTTATAACTTTGGTATTTCTGTTATTTTTATAGAAATGGGACAGTAACTGTACCTCCAGATCCAGGGTTAAAGCCTGAAATGTTCTATGGTCAGTTATAAGCCAGTTGTGCCTATGAAACTAAAGAATCTGCCTAAACCTTTCCTCAAGTCTATTTCAAAGCTCAATTTCAGTGCATATTTTACTTATTAACAAATTTCTAAATATTACTGCTGTGGAGTGGAAGCAGTCTCAAGTGACTCCTCAGTGGGAAAAAATGCTGTCTGGAATATGAGAAGTTGGAGAGTATGATGAATTTCTACCTCTATATTTGTACTCCAGGGAAATTGCAATGCCTATCCTAAACTAATTTTCTGAGTGCATAAGTCTAAAGTACGCAGTTAACAATTAGTATCCTTATGTTCATAAGACATGTGTGAGAGTGGTGGGAGAAAGCAAAATGTAGGCCGGCAGCATGCCATATTAAAGACTTTGAAAGTGGTCTTGTAGATAATGTGAAGCCATTGGCTTATTATAAGAAAGCCCAGATATGGATTTGAAATGCAAGTGCATATTGCCATATAATTGAAAACAAGATGGTTTTAACAGTCAAGGGCAGAAATAAACAGTAAACAGCAAGGGTGGAATGCACAAGGTCAAAAACCGACTTATCAGATGGTAGGGGAAAAACAAAGGAGGAGGCAACAAAGCTTGATTAAAAAAATGTACTCATTACCTTGCTCATGTAACCCCTCTGTACAGTATTTTCCCAATAAAAAAACTTATTTAAAAAGTCATTTGAAGAATAAAAAAAGAAAAACTACAAGACTTTTATTGTTGAACTGCCTGGAGTTAGTAATCAAATAGCTCATGATTACTAAAAAGAGAGAGAATAAACATTTTTATTATTTTAAGTGACCCTTACACAAGTATATTAGATTCTTATGGGAATCCCAGACTAATAATGGTTTATTCCTCAGGATAGCAAATGTAATATAAGAGAAACAAATTTGATCTACATGGGAATGGAAGAGAAATTATGAATTTAGTTTTAAACATGATGGATTTAAGTTGTGTTTGAGGAATCATGAAAAGTTGAATGGAGTGTAAAACCAATATAATTTGGAGAAGTGATATGAAGTAGAAATGAAATTTTCAGAATTATCCTTGTATTGCTGAGAATAGAATATTTAGGTATGAATGAGGAAGTGAGGGGTGGGTTAAGGAAAGTGTTAAGACAACTCTGTAGAAGAGCAATGACTAAAGGATGGCTATTTTTAGACAGATATCATTTACACGAGCACACACAGATTAACAATAAGACTAAATATATTAAGGTGGAAGAAAGATAATCAGTAGTAGAGATCATCAACCACAAAATGTACTTTAGGTGTGTTTTAAATAGCTTGTTTAAATTTACTTTAAGAAAGTAAGAAAATTTTTCTTTGCAAGGTTTTAATCTTGCAAGTGGTCTCTCTCTCTCTCTCTCTCTCTCTCTCTCTCTGTGAAACACATTTATTTTTCCATAATTGTTGCATTAATTTGGCAGCATATGAGTTATTAACCCCATTTTTCAGAAGAATAAATGAAAACACAAAGGGGAATATGACACTCTTAAAACTCCAGAGCTAGCAAATTGTAGATACAGGTTGGTGTTCTGGTTAAATCTGAGGGAAGAACCTTAGAGTAGAAATGAAATACCTCAGGCCAATCAAGAAATAACAGTGTTTTTCTTTATTGTAATTCTAGAGCTCATATCGTGGTCCTAGCAATTATAGTAAAAAGAAATGGAGGTCAAGTGGACAGTAAAATTCCATTGTGTGCGGGAAAATATGAGATTAGAATTTTATTTTATTTTATTTTTTGCAATCTTGAGATTGAACTCAGAGCCAAGCACTTGCAAAGCTAATATTCTACCACCTGAAATATGCCTGAGGCCCTTTAGCTTTTAGTTTTGTTGTAAGGTAAATCCAGTCAGTGAGATACAGAGAAGCCACATTTTGAGAGGTAGAATTGGGAGTCGTTATTAGATCATTGGTGTTTGCAGGTGGACTGCGTCACATAGACTTGCAGCCTCAACACCACACTTAACACTGTCAGAAAACTGAGCCATGAGTGCAGGAGATGAAAGACAGAGCAGAAAAACAATAACAATCCAGATCAACAACAATGGAGAGCTCAAGTGGGATGCGATGTTGCCCAGAGGAGAGCCAAAGACAAGACAGAGCACATGGGGCCTGGCATAATGGCATCTGAGCTGGTCTGACCCTAAAATAGGGTCAAGTCAGGGAGCAGGGTCACAGGAAAATTGAAAGTCTCCCAAGTTCAAAACACATGACTGACTAGTCCAGTAACCTATCATCCAAATCCCACCCGGCCTCTAGGAATTCAGGCATGCCTATCACCTGAGAGATGGGGTTTCCCCTTCTTCTACCATGAAGACAAGATGGCACTAGTTAGATCCAATTCCTTATCCACCACATGGCCAAGATGGGGCCGGTTAGACTCAGCATTCCCACTTCAGTTTGTTTTTCAGATGCAGCCTCATGCTTTTCTTTGGGCTTGTCTAATTAATAAACTTCTGCCATGTGAGCAACTATGTCCAGAGTAATGTGTAATGGTACTTAGCAGATACTTTTATTACATGCACACATGTTTGTCTCTAGTAAGATAAAGGAAATGTTACATCTAGTCAATAGTGTGTAAACCCATCTCATTTATGGCTTAGTTAGTCAAAGGGATGGGTTTTCTTGGTGTTTTAAATGACTTGTGAATCTTGATTTTCTTTTTATCCAGAATTTCTTAAACAATAGCTAAGTCATAGTGTATGTTGTTAAACAGTCAGCCCTACCTGAGTATATCATGTGGAAGTTTAAAGGGGTCTAAGGAGCTGCTGATATTCATGAAAGCTGTAGCTATATTATGAATTACCTGGTGCACATATTAATGCTAGATAACATTTGAACATATAATCGTGAGTCTGAGAAAATTTGAAACTAGGATAGATAACACACAGTGTCCTATCTTGAAAAGGAAAAGATCCAGAAATGATGATGCAAAAGAAGTGGGATTTTAACAGAGTAAACATTAATATGCAATAAACAAAAAAGTAGCACAGTAAGTCTGGACTAGTGAGAGAAAAAAGAACTCTGAGATTGATTGCATGAGAAACTCCTCTAGCTTCATATATTCAAGTCAAAAAGCTTTGTTTTGCACAGGTCTACCAATATTAGAGAAGTTTGGAAAGTAATTATAATTTCAAATAGCAAATTGATGACATGATTTAAATTAATTTATTGTGAGTCACTTTCACAAATACATCTAGACAGCATATCCAATGAAAACTAGTTTGAACAATTACGTCAAGTTTTATACCAAATTGCTGTCATTTCCATGACTTCATGTTTATTACTTATTGCTATGACTTATAAGTACAATTTTATGTCATGACTATAATGTTGGTAGATATTTGTTTCAAATATAGCTTCCAAAACATTTAAAAAGTTGTTACTCATTTAAGAGTGCTTTCAACACTTTGGAATTTGTTAAGTTGTTGTGCATGTCATGAACAAAAATTGGATGGCTTTGAGGTCACACTACTTGCTAAACTTCTCTGGTTTCCTTCAGTTCTTTTAAAAAGTATTATAGAATTCTTTAGCAATGGTTAGATAAGGTAATTAAAAATGCCCAAAGAAATGCAATTGATTCATTTTTTATCTCCTAAGTAATGAATATTGTCATTAGTTTCAAAAGAGTCTTGGTAATGGAGCTATTTGCACCACATTCGAGTCTACAATAATACTATAATAAAATAAACATAATATCTTTTTGGGGGGTTGTCATGTTTTTATTGAAATAGTTTCTCTTGTGCTTCTTAACTAGCTGGGCATTCCATAGCATCACTGTTGATGTCATCTATGATGTCATAAGGGTGGTGGCCATCAATATTACACCCCACAGACTGGGCAGTACCCAGGATCTCCTTAATGGTTCCAGAAAGTTCTCTGGCTAAAGATCAGTGCTGCATCTTCCGGGCAGTGTTGACAATCTCATCAAAAGAGATGTTTCCGTGGTGTTTAATATTTTTCTGTTTCTTTCTGTCTCTTTAGGGCTTTGATGATCAAGGCAGAGGCAGAAGGTACCACCTCTATCTGGGCCTGTCTGTTCTGAACGGTCAGCTTAACTGTAATCCTCAGACTCTTCCAGTCACCTGTCGCCTTGGTGATGTCATCACCAACTTTTTTTGGAGACAAACCCAGAGGCCGATCTTGGGGGCCAGGGCGGAAGTGGTGCCGACCTCGCCAGCGGTGCACCTCAGGTACACGACTTTGATTTCGTTGGGATCAAACTTAGGCGGCATGACGGAGGTGGCTGGTGTCGGATGAACCTGGATTCGGGACGACCGAAGAAAGTTGCACGTTTGCCTCCTCTGAGCTGAAGGATGAAAGTAAACATATTACCTTATCAGTGAAAAGACATTTAGTATATAAAACATTATGATAATGGGTCATTATTGAGGTATACCAATTGAGTACATTGTTTAAAATAATTCACAGAAAATCATCTCCATTTCTCCATCATATTAATCTGCTTCCTGAAAAATCATCTTACTTGAAAAGTCACATTCTCTAGGTCACATATAGTCTCCTGTTGTAATATTGTATTAATGACTTTATTCTGAGCTGTAGTATTGATATCATTTTCTTTACCATTACTTTTGTGTTATATGTATGTTTTACATCATTTATTAACTTTTTAATGTAAAGGTTTAGCGAAATAGGACTGGAAGTTGAAAATAAAAGTAAATAGTTTTAAATTGTGTTATATGAAATCATACATTGGTTAACAATTAGGGTATGTTGTAACAATCCATTTTAAGTGATTTTATCATTGTACAAACATCATAAAATATTCTTTTACAAATGAAAATAGCTAGACAGGTAAATAAAATCTTGATTTTTTTGTGCCAGTATTGGGCCTTGGCATTATCCCTGACTTTCTATTTCTCAAGGATAGCTGTCTACCACTTGAACCACAGCTCCACTTATGGGATTTTTGGTAGCGAATTAGAGAGAAGAGACTCATAGACTTTCTTGTATGGACTGATTTTGAGCCACGATACTCAGTTCTCTGTTTCCAGAGTAGCTAGATTTACAGGGGTGAGCCACCACCACCTGGCTCAATTAAATAACCTTAAGAAACTACTCGTATGTGTGTGTGTGTGTGTGTGTGTGTGTGTGTGTAATAGTTGACTGAAATAATTTTTGTGTCTGATTGCATATTTGTCAATATGAGCTGAACAATGTTAAATAAGAATTAACTAAAAGTTTTTATATAATTTTAGTATGTGTCTAATCTTTAAGAATTGAATAAATATTGACTATAAATTTCTTGAAAAACTGTATTACATTTTACTGCTATAAAATATATCTTGAAAAATTATAGGTTATTAATTTACTTATTTATATATTATCTGAAATATTTTCAGGCTATGATAGAAAGAAATGTGATGCTATCTGGATAGTGAACACATTCAGAAGCATGATGTTCTGTGTATAAGATGTATACTTCAAAGAAGAACATTATTTAATTGAGCCTTTTTAAGCTTCCTGTGTCATATTTGCAATATATTGGTGATTCACTGGATAACTTGTTCTAAAAAGAAAACCAGACATACAGGCATCAATGGGAATAAAAATTTTTAAAAATAAAAAAATAAAAATTCCTTCTTCACTTTTGCATAGTTTGGTAGAAAAATCAAACATAAAGCTGTGATATGGGAAAAAGTACTAACCTTAGAATCACTATCTGGATTTGGGGCCTGAAATTTAACTTTATAGGCTGTTCAATTCTGGACAAGTAATTTCATTTTTTCAGGAATAATTATCATTTAATGTGTAATGTGAAGCATAGTAACTTGGTTTGCACAGGTGCACAATATAAAGTTTGTGCCCCATATAATTTTATGACCCCTGGACTCATTGTTGTCTATTCTATATGGAAATTTATTTGTGAAAATTCCCACATGTAGTCAATACTTTTCCCAATGATGATTATTCCAGCAAAATTGATTTTCCTGTTTCCTCATTGTATGTAAATATAAATGGGTTTCCAGCCTTGGAAGTATTGGGTGTGAAATTCTAAATCCCTTGATTTATTTCAGGGGTATTTTTCATGTGTTTTAGTAAACAATCTTATTACTTCACTCCTGGCTGTGGAGGTCTTTTGTTCCCTAGACTTATATTTTGTTTGATGTATGTCAGGTTGGTTTTCTTTTATAAAATACATGACAGATAATAAAAACCATTTTTCATTCCTGAAACTTGTAATCTAAGTATTTCCCTATTCATCTCATCAGAGAATTTACCCAGTTTTTAATGGATCCCTCTGTAGAGGTTAGCAATGATTTCAATTAATTAAAAACAAGACAAACAGAAAATGAAAGCTAAAAAGATGTCAGTTAATAAATGTGGATAATAGACCAAACTCCAAATCTCCACTTTACTTTTGTCTACCACCAACAATCAATTGGCTCCATGTTTGGCCTGCTATGAAATTCCTTCATTCTCATTTGCAGAAATAGAGCTAAAGATGCTCTTCCCTGGGGTGGGAAATGAAGAAAGCAATGTCCAATTGTATTCCATCTGTCAACTCAACGCTGACTAAATAGGGTTGATATTTTCTTTACTTTGTTACCTCTTCCTTTCGCTCACCCAGAAGCAGCTGAAATGGAAATATAGACAAGAACAAGATTTCTTGAAGGATTACAACAGGACTAGAAAGCTAAGGAACAATATTTTTTCCAATTTCTCTTAGGCATATGTGATTACAAACCGAAAATATTTAGGGAAGAATAATCTGGCCTATTTTTGTGCTTTTCTCCTCAATATCTCTTTAAAAATGTGAAATGAATCTCAGACAAGGTGATAATGTGAAAAATTAGGTTTATAATATAAGGTTCTAGAATTTCAATACAGGGATTTACCTTAGACTGTGCTTTGTTCTGTGTTTAAGTTCAGGAAATATTTACTTGCAACATGTAAGTAACAACATCTGCCCTTTGACAGTATTGTTAGTAATGTGCTACAAGCCACAACAACTTTCCTAGAGCCTGCTTAACAAAATCATTTAAGTATGTACAACAGCTCAATTCCGAATTGTATAGTTTTTATGTAGAGCATCTTTTATCTGGCCACCATCCTAACAAATCCTAATGTCATGTTTAAGAGTTTAACTTCACTGTTACAAAACATACTCTGTATTTCTGAACTTGATTTCTTCATCTGTAGAAGAAAGATGATTTGCATCCCCTTCAGTTACTGTGTAGATAAAATAAGTGAAATAATTGTTTAAAAATGTACCAAGTACATGGTGTATAATGTACAATACATGGCAACAAGTATTAGCAACATCCTTCATTCATACATACACATATGCATATACACAATGTGTGCACACACACTAATTGCCTACACATACAGGTTCCATCGAGCTTGTTCCATCCATGAGTATATTTGTAGTTCCTGAGTGTCAATATCACACACATATATCCATGCCAGTGTAATATATGCATTATGTTTGTGGCTATAATTTTTGTTAATTTTCATTTCTGTATTTCAAAATTAGGCTTCCTAATAAAAGGAATTGTATATGTATTGCTCATTGTTTAGTATCTAGTGAAAAACTTCAAATGCAATTAGTACACATTCATTTAATAAATGATTTGGTCAAAATAAAGCCTTTGTGCTTAGATAAATTAATATAAATACAGCTTAGTATATTGAAACTCATTTTTAGAATGTATGTCAGAATATTCCTATTTTCCTTAATATGTGAAACTCTTATTATACGGGCACCATCTTCCCTGACAGAAAATTTATCCTGCTCTATAAGTCTTCAGAAACATTGGACCTTTCATTAGTAATCCATTCTCTTTTACTCTTTTGCCATATGTTAAAAGAATTTTTCAGTTTTGTCAAACAAACCAATCAGCTTGATGATGACCATGAAAGAGTAAAGAACACTAAGTAATATTTGTGCTAAATCATAGTTTATACAAAAACCACCAGATTACATGAAGGAAGCCTATTACACAAATCTCATTTCCAGTTATACATGTTGGAATTATTTCCTTGATAGTCTAATTTCTTTATGGTATAATTTCATAAGAATAATTTTAATTTCTATTTGGACATATGTAGGATTTTCTGTGAAACTAATATTTATTGGTGGGGTATTTTTGCTTGAGGGACAGCTGATTGTAAGAGTAAGAAAGTCTCAAGGAGCTCTTCACTTTACTAAAAGGATTTGACATAAGCTCAAAAATATCAAATCCACTAGTATTCACAAAATCAAATAATGAATCTTCAGAATAATGTATTGTTGTCAAGATTAGATTATATTTTGAACTATCCATTATGCTACTAAAATTATTTAATATTTATGTGATGTTAAATAATATAAAATTTCTAAATTGTAAAGTTATGTGTTATTAATGTATTTGATCACCTCTTAATATCTGAAAGTAGTAATTATTTAGTGTAAATCCACCTGTAGATCAGATTATCACATAATGAGAAATCATATGATAGATCAGAGGAGGACAAGTTGTATAATTATAAGTGGGGATGAGTATTAATGCCCTGTAATTCACTGAAATATTTTAGTAACAAAAAAAGGATTTTAGGGCTTGAGGGGGCTCTTTTTGTATTTTATAGATCATAATTTTCTATTACTGATTATTATTTGAATTAAAGCTTAATGTATATCTCTTTGGATTTAGTATTTTCCTGTCAGTACTGGAGCTTGATCTCATACCTCTCCCTCTGGCTCAGCTTCTTCTTTCAAGGTTGGCATTCTGTCACTTAAGCCACACCCCCCTTCCTAGTTTTTGTCTGGTTAATTAGAGATAACAATCTCTCAGATTAGTCTTCCTGGGCTGTCTTTAAACCACACTCCTCAGATCTCAGTCTTCTGAGTAGCTAGGATTACAGGCTCACCTGTGAGTCACAGGTGCTTGGCTCCTCTTGGATTTTTGATATGGAGTTACAATTATTGTTCTTGCTTCCTACAGATAAGGCTATCTCATTTCTTCATATTCTAAGAGTCTATATTTATCTTCTCCCTAGAAATATTCTCAATAGCTCATTTATCACTATTGTAGGAGAGAGTCCAGGGAGAACTTCCTTAGCAATGTTCATATTTTACATCACATAAAACCTAGCTATAAACTTACCTTTTCTATGAATATTTTTTGGGGGATGAGCAGTTTAGTCCACTCAATTCTGTAGATGTCTCACTGTATTACATTTTATTTTTTATCTTTGCATGTTTGTGCACACACTGATAGCTATGTGCACATGTGGACTTTATCCAACCCATGAACAAATTTCCCGTTATTGAGTGTAAATACCATTTTCTTTTTTTTGTAAT